CTCTCTCTCTCTCTCTCTCTCTCCTCCTCCCTCTCTCTCTCCTCCTCCCTCTCTCTCTCCTCCTCCTCCTCTCTCTCTCTCTCCTCCTCCCTCTCTCTCTCTCTCCTTCTTTCTCTCTCTCTCTCCTCTCTCTCTCTCTCCTCTATGTTCTCTCCCGCTCCTCTCTCCCTCTCTTCTCTCCCCTTCTTTACGCGCGCGCTCTCTCTCCCTCTCCTGTATTTCACGTCCCACACACATTTTCTGTGCTCCATCTTTTACCCTCTTCTTCTTTTCCATCGTCTTCCCTTCCCTTCTCTTCTGACACCAGAAACACAAGGTCGACCTCTTCTACAAGCTGCGCCATGTCATGAACGAGGTGATTGACCTGCGCAGGCAGCTGCTGTCGGGTCACCTGACTCAGGACCAACTACGAGAGGTCAAGCGACACCTTACCGTCCGACTGGACTGGGGCAATGAGTGAGTATGTCCATCGGAGTTCTCCCTTTATAGGCTGCGTGGGTCACAATGGTTGTCAGTTCATTATTTATTACAGAACACAGAATAGAGGTTATTAAAGGACCATAAATGAGTGGAGCCATGATGTTAGATGGGTAATGGCCATAGGACTGTATCTGCCATAGGACACTGATGGGCCTGTGCCTAGAGTGGTAGATGGACCTGGCAGCGTTATACTAATATTGAATGAATCAAAATAATAACTTTTTGAATAATGAATTAAATTGGGTTTACTTTTCATCCGCGGTAACTATGTAACTTTTGGTGGGTTCCATGATTTCCTCATTGGCTTCTCCCTGTCCCCCCCCAGGCACCTTGGTCTGGACTTAGTGCCCCGTAAGGAGTTTGAAGTGGTCGATTCTGACCAGATCAGCGTCTCCGACTTATACAAGATGGTGAGTAACAACGGGATTCTCTGGGGCTTGCTGGCCTTGGCCAGTCTATCACTGTCACAGTGGTGGGACTACAAGTCATGAGGGGGGCATCACTGGCGGGGTTCCTCTCCTGATAGACTCCAAACTGGAGACAGTCAATGAACTGGATGTGTTTTCATGGCGGGATAAATCAACAGGCGACCCGGCACCTTCCGCTCACAGTAGAGCAGCGCTGGGATGGCGAGGGAAGGTTTCCACGAATGGCCCACGTACCAGCATTACCATTCAGATCAGCTCTTGTCGGTATTGGGTGTATGAGCACCTCGGACCAATAGCAACATCATTGCATCAGGAAAGTTTAGAAGGAAAGCTCTGCCCGTTCCTTTTCTATAGATAAAAGGGAACAAGATTGTTACCATACGAGTTGGATAAGCCACCGACCACATAGATATTGGGGCACATTCACCATCTTTATCTATGACTTATCTAGGACACAAACGTGTAAAGTCCCTCTGCATACCCTTCCCCACCGGCCATGAGCACACCAGACTGGTAAGATGTATGGCTGTATCAGGGACATATAGATGTATTCTTTGGGGAATATTTATTTATACATTCATAGGATGTGTACTTCATGATTACTTTCCATATGGCTGCATACTGTAGGGTGGCCTTGCTGAACCAAGGTTCTGTGGGACCTGATGGCTTCTCAAGAGGTTGCTTGGAGTTTCTTCAGCAGTGTTTGCCCCATCGAGGCCCATCCGCAGCCTTTCACCCAATACCTGAATCTCCTTTTCCCAGTCTCAATAATATTACTGTATCTTTATGATACATAGTGTAGGAAAGTCACTGGTCTTTAAACAGTAATGGCAATAAATGCAGCTTTATTGCATCCAACGAAAAAGTAACACAAATAAAAAGGCCTACTCCACCTTAGGAGGCTAACTAAACAGTAGTGTCCCTCACTACGTCCTACTGGAGCGGCTATTCCAGCTTCCAGTATAAATGGACAAAAACCACAGTCCAATACAAACAATTGTTCTGACAGACCTTATTCCCCAGATATGCAGACACTCTCCAGTCTGTGTCCATCCAGTGCAGCCTGGATCTCACTCTGAGCTCTCACTCCCTCCCAGTCACTATCAGGTGCAGGCTAATTAATAGAGAGAGAGAAAGAGAGGAGGTTTACCTTTGGGGCCAGGCTTAACCCTTTCCTAGCCAGGGAAAGCTGCCCTTTTCAACCTCTCACTGACATACACAGAGTCGTGTACCCTGTCACAATAGTTACATAGTTACATAGTATTGGGTTGAATAAAGACATATGTCCATCAAGTCCAACCCATATAGGTCCACGCATCATCTCATTCTTAGGGATACTGGTATCCCTGGATATTACGGTCCCTCAAGAAATTGTCCAAACGTTTCTTGAACAAATCTACACTCTTGGCTGAAATCACCGCCTGCGGCAGTGAGTTCCGGACCCTAACTGATCTTACTGTAAAGATACAATGTTCTCCGTCCATCCAACACAAAAATACAAACACAACAGGAGATTGGCTCTTATGATTTCCCATTGATGCCTGTGACCTCGCTCACTCCATGACGGTGAAGGTTCCTATGTATCCAGCTCATGGTTGAGTTAGTAGTAGCCGGTCACATTCAGCTTGACTTGTTCTGTAATGTTGAAGAGTGTCAGGAAAAGCAAAAACACGGGACCATCAAAGAGAGGGGAGACGCAGAACCTCTCAGTAATCCAAGGAGTCATGTCTCCCGTATGTAGGAGAGTTGGAGAAACTCAGGAGGATCTTTAAGGAAGTTCACATCCCCGTGTCTCTCAAGCCCAGCAATACACTGAGACAGAAGCTTGAACACCCTGAAGACCCAACACCCAAACACAAGCCAAGGAACGTGGTCTATGCAGTGCAGTGTAGTGAGGAATGGAAAGACCTGAACATTGGGGAGACCAAACATCCTCTCACCAACAAATGACTCAACACAGGTGGACAAATTCTCCAGGCCGGGGCTCAGCAGTCTTCCTATCCTTATGGAAGAGGCATTCTTTGGAGGAGAGGTGCATGTTTTTCGACAGAGAAGACAACTGGTTCTCAATAGGCATGGAAGAAGCCATCATTGTCAGACTGGAACGCTCATCCCTGAGCAGGGGTGGGGGGGGCCTTCAACACCATCTGTCTTCTACACATTATGCTAATTTGTCATCTCTAACTCTGTGATTTGACGACACGTCACACCTTCAGCAATGTAAACTGACAGATTAACACCTGTGCAGACCCCCTGATACCAAGGATGGGATTATGGAACTAGAACAGGGGGCTCCACAAATGTCATTCCACCCATCCTGTTCTTGGACAATTGAATTATGGTGTCTGTGCCACCTGTGTGGATATAAATGCTGGGGTATGTTCCTGGTATGATGGGGGTATATATACTCGGGTATGTTCCTGGTATGGTGGGGGGTATAAATGCTGGGGTATGTTCCTGGTATGATGGGGGTATATATACTCGGGTATGTTCCTGGTATGGTGGGGGGTATAAATGCTGGGGTATGATCCAGGTATGGTGGGGGTCTAAATATTGGGGTATGTTCCTGGTATGGTGGGGGTGGCGGAGGGTCACAGGAGTAGGTGCATTACTTCAATATTCCTCCAGCAGGTAATATTTGCCCCGTATGGGTATTTTTTATCTGTGTGGCTGTGACGTCGCTCCGGCCGGCCGATGAACCTCGTCGCACTGACAGTGTGTAATTTTCTCCGCAGCATCTGTCAAGCCGACACAGCGTCCAGCAGAGCACCAATCAGGTGAGAGGGGCGGCGTGTGACGGAGACAGAAGAGGAGCCGGGAAGGAGGTTAGCGATAAAATGCTGTCAGGGCGAGTGAGGGTGCGGGGAGGTCATTACCATTCCACTGACGGGCTCAGGTCTCTGAGCTCCCGCGGCGAGAAGACGGCGCCGGCGCACCGGAACCCACTGACCTGACAAAGGGAATGTTTATTAATAGATCTGCCCCAATTCCACCGGACTGCATGGGATCAGGAAGGAGACCGAACACAGAAAACGTATCATCATATTGTAGAAACAATGTATTCAAAGAAATAATATTCTGAAAGTTTTATATATATGTATCAGCCTTATATCTGACCTCCGACCTCCCCTTTAGTCTTCTATCTGACCTCCGACCTCCCCTTCAGTCTTCTATCTGCCCTCCGTCCTCCCCTTCAGTCTTCTATCTGCCCTCCGTCCTCCCCTTCAGTCTTCTATCTGCCCTCCGTCCTCCCCTTCAGTCTTCTATCTGCCCTCCGTCCTCCCCTTCAGTCTTCTATCTGCCCTCCGTCCTCCCCTTCAGTCTTCTATCTGCCCTCCGTCCTCCCCTTCAGTCTTCTATCTGCCCTCCGTCCTCCCCTTCAGTCTTCTATCTGCCCTCCGTCCTCCCCTTCAGTCTTCTATCTGCCCTCCGTCCTCCCCTTCAGTCTTCTATCTGCCCTCCGTCCTCCCCTTCAGTCTTCTATCTGCCCTCCGTCCTCCCCTTCAGTCTTCTATCTGCCCTCCGTCCTCCCCTTCAGTCTTCTATCTGCCCTCCGTCCTCCCCTTCAGTCTTCTATCTGCCCTCCGTCCTCCCCTTCAGTCTTCTATCTGCCCTCCGTCCTCCCCTTCAGTCTTCTATCTGCCCTCCGTCCTCCCCTTCAGTCTTCTATCTGCCCTCCGTCCTCCCCTTCAGTCTTCTATCTGCCCTCCGTCCTCCCCTTCAGTCTTCTATCTGCCCTCCGTCCTCCCCTTCAGTCTTCTATCTGCCCTCCGTCCTCCCCTTCAGTCTTCTATCTGCCCTCCGTCCTCCCCTTCAGTCTTCTATCTGCCCTCCGTCCTCCCCTTCAGTCTTCTATCTGCCCTCCGTCCTCCCCTTCAGTCTTCTATCTGCCCTCCGTCCTCCCCTTCAGTCTTCTATCTGCCCTCCGTCCTCCCCTTCAGTCTTCTATCTGCCCTCCGTCCTCCCCTTCAGTCTTCTATCTGCCCTCCGTCCTCCCCTTCAGTCTTCTATCTGCCCTCCGTCCTCCCCTTCAGTCTTCTATCTGCCCTCCGTCCTCCCCTTCAGTCTTCTATCTGCCCTCCGTCCTCCCCTTCAGTCTTCTATCTGCCCTCCGTCCTCCCCTTCAGTCTTCTATCTGCCCTCCGTCCTCCCCTTCAGTCTTCTATCTGCCCTCCGTCCTCCCCTTCAGTCTTCTATCTGCCCTCCGTCCTCCCCTTCAGTCTTCTATCTGCCCTCCGTCCTCCCCTTCAGTCTTCTATCTGCCCTCCGTCCTCCCCTTCAGTCTTCTATCTGCCCTCCGTCCTCCCCTTCAGTCTTCTATCTGCCCTCCGTCCTCCCCTTCAGTCTTCTATCTGCCCTCCGTCCTCCCCTTCAGTCTTCTATCTGCCCTCCGTCCTCCCCTTCAGTCTTCTATCTGCCCTCCGTCCTCCCCTTCAGTCTTCTATCTGCCCTCCGTCCTCCCCTTCAGTCTTCTATCTGCCCTCCGTCCTCCCCTTCAGTCTTCTATCTGCCCTCCGTCCTCCCCTTCAGTCTTCTATCTGCCCTCCGTCCTCCCCTTCAGTCTTCTATCTGCCCTCCGTCCTCCCCTTCAGTCTTCTATCTGCCCTCCGTCCTCCCCTTCAGTCTTCTATCTGCCCTCCGTCCTCCCCTTCAGTCTTCTATCTGCCCTCCGTCCTCCCCTTCAGTCTTCTATCTGCCCTCCGTCCTCCCCTTCAGTCTTCTATCTGCCCTCCGTCCTCCCCTTCAGTCTTCTATCTGCCCTCCGTCCTCCCCTTCAGTCTTCTATCTGCCCTCCGTCCTCCCCTTCAGTCTTCTATCTGCCCTCCGTCCTCCCCTTCAGTCTTCTATCTGCCCTCCGTCCTCCCCTTCAGTCTTCTATCTGCCCTCCGTCCTCCCCTTCAGTCTTCTATCTGCCCTCCGTCCTCCCCTTCAGTCTTCTATCTGCCCTCCGTCCTCCCCTTCAGTCTTCTATCTGCCCTCCGTCCTCCCCTTCAGTCTTCTATCTGCCCTCCGTCCTCCCCTTCAGTCTTCTATCTGCCCTCCGTCCTCCCCTTCAGTCTTCTATCTGCCCTCCGTCCTCCCCTTCAGTCTTCTATCTGCCCTCCGTCCTCCCCTTCAGTCTTCTATCTGCCCTCCGTCCTCCCCTTCAGTCTTCTATCTGCCCTCCGTCCTCCCCTTCAGTCTTCTATCTGCCCTCCGTCCTCCCCTTCAGTCTTCTATCTGAACCTCCGTCCTCCCCTTCAGTCTTCTATCAGAACCTCCGTCCTGACGGCTGACCCGCTTTCCCCCGTCACAGGCGGACACCCTGCGGCAGCGTCACAAGGAGCCCCGCGCCCCGGTGCCTCACCACCTGCTCCTCAACCTGAAGAGCTTCACACACAGCAACATCGGGGAGGACGTGGACCTGTTCTTCTCGCTGTACGACATGAGGGAAGCCCGTCAGATCAGGTGATGCTCGCCCGGCCGACCGCCTGCCATCCCTGTCGTCCTCCGGCGCCGTCACCTGAGCGTCGCTGTCACGCTGAACGCTCTCTCTCTGTTTGTTCTCTTTCCTAGCGAGAGGTTTATGGTGAGACTGAACAAGAACGGCGGGCCGAGGAACCCCGACAAGCCGGAGAGGCTCTCAGCGCTGTTCACGGTACGTCTGGACGTTAAAGTAAAGGATTTCTATTTGTTTCCGGTGAACCAGAAAAAAAAAAGGTAAAAAGGTAAAATAAGAACCATGTTCTGCACCCCATTGCGAGGCCGCAGCCATTATGTGACCCATTCGGATCCTGGCGTTGCATTGTTTCCTTCTGGAGCCCTTCAGAACCCCCCAGAACACATTTTATTATAATGAAATAAAGATATTGGGACTCTCGGCTCTTGGCATGGAGCTCCTTCTCTCCAATGTATCCTGAGAGCGCCCCCTGGAGGCCCCTTTATGTATGACGACTGCC